AACATTTTTGTGAAAGAGCAGATACATTTGTTGTTTGACACTTTCCCTAATACAGATTTTCATTGTTATTATTAATAATATTTTGCAGCACACATAAGTAAATACTGCAGCTACCATTGCAGGAATGTGATTATGCAGCATAACATGATGCTGTGTTTGAAATTTTTGAAAGCAATGCTGCTCTCAGCTTTGTGAGGAGTGAACATTTTACCACGTCTGCTGCAAATCAGAATCAGAATCAGAATCAGAATACTTTATTGATCCCTGGGGGAAATTATTTTTTGTTACAGTGCTCCATTTTAAACCAACATTAAGACAAGACAGACAATACGCTAACTAAGAATAGTACAATATATACATATATATACATACATACATACATAAGTCACTTATAAATAAATATTTGGAAAAGAAACATGTGTAGTTGTAGCAGCAAACAGTGTGTTAAGTGGATGCGTTGTACAGGGAGATGGCCACAGGCAGGAATGATTTCCTGTGTCGTTCAGTGGTGCTTTTCGGTAATCTCAGTCTCTCACTGAACGTGCTCCTGTGACTGACCAACATGTCATGGAGTGGGTGGGAGGTGTTATCCAACATTGTCTTTATCTTGGACAGCATCCGCCTCTCCGACACCACCTTGAGGGAGTCCAGCTCCATCTCCACAACATTGCTGGCCTTACGGATCAGTTTATTAAGAGAAGTTATTGATTTAAAAAGAGAGAGTTTAGAGCCATAACAAAACCCTTTAATTTTGTTTGTACAGGATTGAATGTTCAACTGAAAATGCCCTTGAAGGTCCAACTGAAAGTTTTCTTGTGAACAAACAAGTCAGATTTTTATTCATTGTCACACACTGTATCTGTCATGGTCCTGGGTGGGTGACCCAATGTTTATGTGTTTTCTTGTTTTTTAAATATTCTTAGATTTAGTGTTATTCATGGTTCTGTTTCCTTGCTTCCTCTGTGTCCACATTCCACATTTAGTCAGTCTTGTCTTCATGTGTGTTTAACCCCTGTGTCCGTGTCTTTCTTCCCTAGTCGGCTATGTTTCCACATCTGTTTCTCCCCTGGTCCCAGTGTCAAGCCCTTGTGTCTTAGTCTGCATCTTTTTGTCTTTCCCGTTTTATTTTGACAGTCTTTCATCCTGTGTTCAGTGTGTTCAGTTTTGCTTCCTCCCTGTTTGATTAGTTTCAGCTGTGTTCCCTCCTGTTTCCCATCCTCGAGTCCTCAGTCTCTGGTTGTATCCCAATTCAGGGTCTGCAGCCTTAAAGTACGCAGCCTCAACGATCCTCAAGGGCCGCGTACTTAAAGACCGCTAAGGCCGGAAGTGCGAGGCTTGTGAAATGGGACGGTCTAGCCTCCGTTGCGCTGCCCAGGTTGCCTAGCAACCATGATACTAACAGCTGGAAACGTGTCATACAGCTTTGTTTGACAGAAATGAAGGAGAAAATCTTTTGTTCATTTGTTTGGTTGTTTCTACATGAGCTTTGATCATTTTCTGTAAGATTAAGGTCAGCTATTGAACGGCGTATATTTTAAAGTAAAGGCTTTAAAACCAAGTTAGTACAAACGTCACTAATGTCACATAACTTTGCCGACATGTGGCAACAGTAATGTTTTAATGTTCTTCGTTATTAAACATTTGCACATAAATAAGTGACATAATGTTCAGTACTTACTTAAAGTTTACTCTTCGGACGCCCCTCATCCGCCGTTTTTTTCTCTGGCAAAATTATCCACACCCACCGCCGCGCTATGCATTCTGGGATATGTTGGGCCACGAAGTCTACACCGCCACGTCCTTGAAATTCAGGGAAATGAAGGACGCATTTGAGGGCCGCATTTCGAGCAGCCTTCGAATTGGGACAGCCTTCTTCGCGTCGCTGTGACGTAATCGGCCTTAAAATGCGGCCTTTAAGGCTGCAGATGCTGAATTGAGATACAGCCTCTTTCTGCTCATTCTCGCATTGTCCACATTGCCGTGTGTACACCTTGGTTTCCTCGCTACTCCTAGTTTTCTCATAGCTCCTAGTTTCCAAGTTTCCCAGCTCTTAGGTCCAGTGATCAATAATCTGTGATTATTTGCTGACATGGAAGAAGTGTATTGGCATTTGTGTAATGCACCCATACAGACTTTGGATGCACTATCCAAAAAATATAGAATAAAAAGTGTACTTGCCATGCTAGTATGTATCCTCCAATCAGTTGCCAAAATATTCTGCACGCAAAAAACAGTATAATAGTGTAGAAAATGCTAATGTTGAGAAAACAGGGTTCACATTGCAGCAGCTACACCCATCTTTTATAAGCAACTTATAAGAGAACATGGGAGCAAGAGGACCTGAAAAAAACCTGGTGAATATGGAACTATTTATTTACTCAGTGTTTGCCCAATAGTTAGGTCCTATTTTTTAAAGAAGAAACATTACACATTATTTCCAATCCTTGTAGAACCACAGTATAGTGAGAACTTAGTTTGAACTGTCAGCAATAAGTCAGATTCATTCCTAGTGTGTGCTGATCTCCACCATGTTCCCCTTTGTCAGTGAGTCTGTTTATAATATTTATGGGCAGAATTTCTAGGTTCCCTGTCCTACAGCAATGGATCAATTAGCAGCCAGCTGTAAAATGGTTGGGATGAGAATCAGCACCTCTGAGTCTGAGGCTCTGGGTCTCAGAAAACGAAGTGCCCACTCCAGATCGGGAATTAACTCGTACCCCAAGTGGAGGAGTTCAAGTATTCTGGAATATTGTTCACAAGTGAGTGGAGAGTCGAATAGAAGATTGACAGATGGATTAACACAGCATCAGCTGAGTGTGAATGTGAACCTGTCAGTCTTACAGGTCGATCTTTGTTCCTACTGTCACTTATAGTCACAAGCTCTGAGTAGTGACAGAAAGAATGACACTGCAGATAGAAGCAGCTGCAATAAGCTTCCTCTCAGTAGTGACTAGACTAAGCCTTAAAAACAGGGTGAGAACACTGGTATTTTGGGAAGGATACCTCCAAGATCAAACGATCCATTTGAGGTGGTCCAGGTGTCTCACCAGGATGCCTCACAAGCACCTCCTTGGAGAGGTGTTTCAGACCTACCGGGAAGAAGTCCACGAGTATTACCCTGGACACACTGGAGAAATGATGTCTCAGGGCTGCTTGACTGTGTGTTTATTTAAGCTGTTTTATATTGGGTCAAATGAATTACTGTAGGGGTCCCCATAGACCCAAATCAATAGTCCATGTAGTTTAAATATGCTGGCAGCTTATTTTGAAAATGGTGTATTTTTTTAAACAGCAAAATATGGAGTGACCACTGTTATTGCAGGTTCAACAATAGGCCTGCTGCAGCGTCATTTGTTCCAATGATTGGGGACGTGTAAACAAAAGCCAGCAGGCAAATGGTATCTGCACATTTTCAACAAACGGAGGAAAAACAAGTTCCACAGACAGGCTGGACCTGCAACCTGCATTATGGTCTCAGAGTTTCATTAGTTAACACCAACACTGGTGCTTTTAAAAAGAATTTCTAGGTTGGCATCTATAGCCTAGAAAATCAAAGATTGTAAAGAGTTATATTTTAACAGACTTGTCTTACAGCGATGTGTTTTTTAATTGTATAAAGCTTTGTTAACTAGAAAGAATGTAGCGAACTCAAGGACAAAGCTTAATGCTAACACTGTGTGGGATTCCATTACCTTTATTTCATAATCTCTTACAACATCTCTACCCAGTAAAGTAAATTTGTATTAACTTTACAGCAGTCAATACTTTGTATTCACATTGAACAGTCCTCTTTGGCTGGATGTAAGAATAGGTTCCCTGTCTAGGTCAGCAACGAATGAAATCTGACTCTCTGTCCTTGAAAAATACATCATTATCAGCAGTGAATAGGAGGCAGTAAAAAGAATATGACATAGAGACACTCCAATGCCACTTTGATCAAACCTCAGGCTTGTCTGTCTGATAGGAAAACTTTACCATAGTTCTTCTTTCCAATGTTCTGGAAACAGTTGGCTCCGAGGTGTAATGTCACCATTAGCAGGATGCACCCTGGGTCTCCAAATCCTGGCAGTGGTCCTTTTCTTTTCTTCTCTTCTCAGCAAGACACAGAGTCGACCTGGGAAAAGTTGTCAAACTTACAGAAAAGATGGATTGTGCGTCTTAAAATAGCATTCTCCACCTGTCGGCTAACATTTTCCAGCACGGTCACTGTTGTATTCGGTGATGATAGCCAAGTATCACATGAAGGGGATGCTGTGACCATAAAGCTGCTTAACACAGTTGTGAGCTTCCAAAGCTCTTAAAGGAGCCACAGATGTGCTTTTATAGTTAACAATATAGTATGAGCATTTGAGAGTGATGCTTAACATGTGGAAGCTTTTGAAATGCTGACAGCGATATACCATAGTCGATACTGTAAAATGACACTGCATCTCATGACTGATGAGACAGTGGGATGTTGGCGGTGGCTTTTATAAAATATATATTACACGTCTTAATTCTACTATTCCTCTTTGTTTACAAGCTTCTTTGTGTAACTCTGGCTGTTTTCATGAACCTCATGAGAACTTTCAGTTGTTTTCATTTTCTTGTTTCCCCTCCCCTATTTTCTGCTTTATATTGAAAGTGAAATCACTAAGGCTTAACATAAGCACAGCTTTATTGAATTTAAATCCATTTTTACCCAGCCACATTTGTGCTTGAGACATAACTGTCCATGGCAAAGTTACTTTAAAAAAACAACCTTTTTTTGGCTATGAGTAATAAAGCTGTAGGATTTCTTTGAAGAAAACCTCAAGTGCGTTTTTTTGATATAAATATGTTCATATTTATTATTAGATGCTTATAATCCAAAAGGTACATACACTGTTTCGATAACCAATTAAATATATCAACCGATGTCTCCCACGACCTCGAGCAGTTCATATTCACAGGGCGTGAAACCGGAACTTTCTTTGCAATACGAAATATTTTCTGCCGTTAATCACAAACATACTCACTAATTTCTTTCCCACAAATAACCATTTATTCTTCACACATTTACTGAAAATTACAGTTTATTGAAAGGACACAGAAAGGTCAGATAACACAGATACATGTAGCTAGGAGTTACTACTCAGTGCATGGCACATTCTCAGGGAGACGACCCATTGTGAGTCTTTGGCTCTTTGCCTCTGGAGTGTTAAAGGCAGAAAGAGTGCTGAAATATTAAATGTTGAACAGTTGGCCAGCCAACTTGAGCCTCTATATTTCAAAATGTGGAGGAGTAAATTAACCTTGCTACAATGAGTGACAAACAATATTCTAAGTTGGGTAGTAGTAGTAGTAGTAATAGTAGTGGTAGGAGTACTTTTTTATTTGTCAATTGATATACTTATCACAGGATACAGTGTCAGACCTCACCAGTGCAAAGGGATTTTCTAGAAAGATCACACATTTAGAAAGCAGTGTCCTCACTCGGAACAAAACTCAGATAAGTAAACAACAAATGAACGATCATGAAACAAGTTACCAGTGCCATTGCTACCTTTGAAAAAAATTTCTAAACGCATGCCATTTTACTATGGAGGTTTTTTTAGATGACAGTTTGAAATTTGTTGACAATTCCAGTGTCTCAGCTCTTGCTAACGATGCTGATATGCGCATGTGTGCATGTGTGTCGAAAAAGTGAGTGTGTGTCTGTGTGTGTGTGCATGCGTTTTGTAGAAGTGTGCGAGTATGTGCTCTTAGAAAGATCCTTCAGGCAATGCAGTAGATCTGTGCTCCCGTTGATATGCCGTCCTCTCAGTTGTATTTATGGGGCTTTGTCTTTTTGCTGCTGCCTCCCTCTGCCTCGTCATTGTCGTGTGTGGGCTTTGTGTTGAATTTTCCACTCTGCACTTGGCTCTTTTCCTGTTAGGTTCAGAAGATAAAGAATAATAATGAGGCAAGACTGACACAATGGTGTTCAATAGTAGGCATATGGTGGTTTGTAATCTTAGCAGAAAATACCTCCTAAATCTATATGAAATACAAAGAAAATTTAAACAGTAAAACACGGCAAGTCTTTCATATGATGACTGCTGCTATGCTCCTATATTCAAAGTGCTTCTCTCTACTTGTCCTAGTCCTTATGCTGTCTAGCATCTGTCCTATTTATATGCTACCACAGTTGCATCAGTTGCCTTTGAAAGACTGATAGCTACTGGCCTGCATCAGCCCGTCCTCCCCAAACATAATAATTCACCATAGTGTAATTGCTGGTTGTCACATCCACAGCTACATAGTCACTAAAAAGTGCATTTGGGTAGCTTTTTTGTAAAGTTGCACCAGCAAATTCAAACACACACACACACACACACACACACACACACACACACACACACACACACACACACACACACACACACACACACACACACACACAAAAAGGCATATATTTATGCTTTTTTTGTGAACAAAAGAACTTCAAAGTGTATCCTGCAGTTTAAACCTGCATATAGGTACTGGGAACCTTTACTAAAAAATCCCAAATTTTTGTAGGTTTTTTGGTATCTTTTTATCCTGGATTGTTTGATTGATTGATTAACAGCTCCCACTGTTGATATGCAGATTAGGGCTGAATCGTCTCCGACATTTGGATCGCAAGGCCTGCTTACTTGTACTCGGGCTTTATCGTCTTTACTTGCAAAACAGAGAGGCTACTCACATGAAACACAGCTACACTGAAAAACTGAAGGTCAAAACTCTGCAGAGTACATTAAGAATTAATCAATTGTACAACTTACTGTGTAACAGTGACACAGTTATACAAATCACAACTCAACTGAACCCATGATATACGCTCGGGTTCTATGCTAATATCAGAATAAACTCTTTTGTTCCATCACCATATATTTTAATGCTTGTTTAAAGTGGGTTTGGCCAATTTTAGACACGAATATCAAAGTATTTGTTTCCATAGTGTTTTTAAATTTGGGATAAAGAGGTTTTTTTTTTTTTATGTGGACATGAAAAGCACCTCAGCTTGGTATCTTACGTTCCCCTGACTCACAGGAGTGATTAGCATGCTTCAGTTCACATAGTTTTTGACAACTCAGTGACTTTGTTCCTAGACTTGAGGAATCCTTTGACAACTTTTTTTAAGTGTTAAATCTAGCAACTTTTTTTGATAAACAACTGGGCATACTGCTTTGTTCTTGCTCTCCATCCACAGGCATTGTTCTGTTCTATTCTGTTTAGTGGCAGTAAACACTAAACAGAACTGTATTATATTTGCATGCTGTTATTTAGTCTAAATCTGTGTATTGTGTGAAAAAAAAAGAAGAAAAACATTCTCTTGTCTCTAATTTTCTCATTGTGATATTATTTTGACTTATGTGTATTAATTTTGTCAGATGACTTCTAGCTGTAAAATAGAACACACGTCCTCAGCCAGTCATGTTCAGTCTCTTAGGATAGAAAATGCCATATCTGAGAATGGCTAATAAAAGGAGAAGATTAGGATGGGGAAAACATAGAGAGTGGGCAGGAGGTAAAGTGTTATGGACTAAGCTTAAGGTGTTTGGGTCAAATAGAAGATTGAGAGTAGGAAATGAAAAAATGCTGGAGGTGTGCTTGACATCTGTCAAGAATGGTGGAGAAATGTGTTGCTCTGCTGGTGATAAATTGCAAGATTGATTACCAGCAAAGAGATGGGATAATGGGATCTTGAACAAGAAAAGCTACCACTCCATTTTGCAATGTCATGTCATACCCTGTTAGCACCACTTGATTGCAACCAATTTCCCACTACAACAAGACAATGACCCAATGCCCAACTCTGAACTATGCAAAAACCATTTCAAGAAGAGCCTGTAAGCTGGCATTTTGTCTATAGTACAGTGGCTAGCATGGATCTCTGAGCTTTTGTGGAAACAGGTTGTCTGCATGCAAGAATTGGCCATCAAACCAATCATTTTGGAGGTGCTTTGACAGACTTATAGCATGCATAAAAATGCTTCTTCATAATTATCATATTGTATTCATAGACAGATAGATAAATATTTTAGTTTTTTTTTTTTCAAACTTTGATTCAAAGCACTTTTGAAAGAATCATATATCTGATCCAGTGGATGAGAATCAATCATGTTTCCTTTCATCTGTTCATCTGCAGACATGATTCCTCACTTAATGCACTCTTGTGATTTCTTTCCACCCACTTTGATGTCAAGATTGGGATTTTTTACTGTGTATATCTTATTTTTCACCACCAAGAACTCTCTTAAGAACATCCAGTAGTTTTAGTTGACGGTCGATTTTTGGAAAAACTTTCAAGAGCTTTGTCAGTAGCAGAACTATGAATGTCACCCTACAAGCAGACATTCATAGTTTTGCTTTAAAGCCAATGTGGCCAACAATATGGCTGACGGACAGAAAAAAAATCTGAAATAATGTTTCCACCTTTTTGAATTTATTCTGATTCATCCTGACTCTGTACTTAATAATAAACAACCATACGACAATATATTTACATTGCATGGAGATTGTGAGATTTTTATTTATTTATTTATTTTTGTCTTGTACCCCGCCTCTCGCCCTATGACAGCTGGGATAGGCTCCAGCGCCCCCCGCGACCCTGAAAAGGATAAGCGGAAGCGAATGGATGGATGGATGGATGGATATTTATTTTTGCCTACAGATACATCCAACAGAAAAATCAGTAGCTATATAATACTTTAAAACACACCACTAAACACATACCACTGATTGAATAACATCATTATTAGCAAACTAGGTGAAAGCAGAAGGAATTCTTTGGAAGCCTAAAACATATTTTTGCTAATGTTTTCCTCACTTTGAATCATAAACAGTAGCTGTTTATTTGAATGACTGCATAGCTGCCTTACTTGATTTTTATCATTTCCTTATCACCCTTTGTGATTTTTATATTCCAGCTGGCGTGCTTCCACTTGCACATTTTTAATGAATTCAGGAATGTCAGACACAAACATTACTCATGCTGTGGTACTTCTGAAATATGCTCTGTTGCTTAAGAATGTCAACATGTGCTAAAATGGTATGAAGTTATATGTTTGACCTATAGGAACACAGAAAAGAAAAAGAAAATGAACCAACTTTTTTTTTCAATGAAGTTATTGATGTGTTTAAACATAATCTGAAATTTAGATACATTGTATTAAGTTTAAATGGCACACTTTTGCAATTTTTTTTAAATATTGCTCTGTCACTCTGTGCATGACGAGGCCACATCAGTCTGCCAGAGGAGGCTAAGTCAATAATAATAATAGATTGCATTTATACACAATTTACAATTCATTCACTCTCACATTCATACACTGGTGGAGGTAGCTACAGCTGGCATATCGCGCCATTGGCCGCTCTGGCCGCTCTGGCCATCACCAGTAGGTGGTAGGTGAAGTGTCTTGCCAGAGACAGAGACTGTCCGAGCCGGGGCTTGAACCGGCAACCTTCCGGTTACAAGACGACCTGCCAATACTTTGAGCCACTATCGCCCTATAGATAAGGATTGTGCAATATAGCTCACCTAAAGTGTTTCCTTGTTTTTCTTTTTCATAACTACTGCGGCGTTGTACCAAACACAACAGGTACAAGACTGTAAATACTTTTTCTTTCAAAAACATCTGAACATAAGGAGAAATGACACTTGGGTTCTCAGTTGCCACAAATCGAACATGAAAACGCGTAATGAAGGTGGAGAAGTGACAGAAATACGGAGCACCTAAATGCAGATTGATCCACTGAGACTGGAATGCAAATTACTACTAATCAAACTGTTTACTACACCATGTATGGCAAGTGCTGTGCAAGAGGGATAAAAACTGACAGAAGGAAAACAGTCTATTGTACATTTGGTACTGCAACACAATATGAAAATTTCGCAATTAGTGATCTAAGAAGGATCATAACTATATAACCATTACGTCTTACAATGTCATTAGACCGACCTGATGGTGATGGCTGAAAACCTTGCTACTGTTTTCCTGCATTTCTTCTTTTTCAAAGAAAACAATACTAGGATTAAAAATGTACTTTGTGCCCTAACAAGGATTTCTTTTTGCAGTTACATTTTTTTGCCTTGGGGAATTCTTCTGACTTCCCTAACAAGTAACATCCTAGATTAAGTTCACTACATTAAATCGAAATCGAAATAGCATTACATCTCATAATGCTATAAATCAGGGACATAGTCCAAAGCGTTGCTACACAAGAAAACACTTGTTAAACTTTCACAGATTATCTCTCTGGCACAAAATAAACCTGAGAAGTCAAATAAGCCCATTTGTCTCCTTTGCAATATTCTTGTATTTGTTTGCAAATACTCTGCGTGTCTAAAAATGGATTGCTGCCACTTGGAATGCAAGACAGTTGCTCAGTTACACAGTATTGCACTGCATTGAAATGAGATGCATTGTTTTGCTGTACCATCTGCCACCACCAAACAGGTGTGACTCAATTCAATAATAGGATGAGGGAGGCAGTTAAGCATGGACTTTGACAGGACATTGAATATCACATACTGTAGGTGACATTGGCACACTGAATAATAGATTTTTATGGATTGGTTGCTTTTTTTCTCCACTTTTTTAGGAATGTGATGTAGATGTTGTGTGTCTCGCTTGTGTCTTGATGAATCATCAACTGTGTTTCATTTGATGTCTTTGGGATGTACTTCATTATATACAGAGCTAAATCAGTTTGTTTAGTTAGTAGTTGTCAGGAAGGATGTCGTCACAATGTGTCAGCTACATCTGTGTTGCCTTTCTTTCCATATTGTCGTTTGAAAATGGCTTGTCATGCCATCTGTTTGATTACACTGCAGGATAATCCAAAAATTATTGTCAAAAAGCTATGACAGGGTAAAAGCTGCTACACTATCTTGTCATAAACTATGTAATTATATCATATATGTATTTCACTTGCTAGTAAAATGGTAAATGGCCTGTATTTATATAGCGCTTTACTAGTCCCTAAGGACCCCAAAGCGCTTTACAAATCCAGTCATCCACCCATTCACACACACATTCACACACTGGTGATGGCAAGCCACATTGTAGCCACAGCCACCCTGGGGCGCACTGACAGAGGCATTGTGAAATGAAAGTGCATTGTATACAGTCAGATTCATTAATATTTGGACATAATTGAACAATATCCTCTGAAAATGGTAGACTCTAGATAAAAAAAGATGACTGTAGTTAATACAGTACTTTTGTTAAAGCTGAATTTTTGCACTTCAAACACATCTTGGCTTTTAGGGTGAGGGTGATAGGGCTCTCTACACCAGCGGTCCCCAACCCCCGGGCCTCGGACCGGTACCGGTCCGTGACTCGTTTGGTACCGGGCCGCGAGAGTTGAGGCTCAGGTGTGAAAGCGTTATTTTGTTATCGTTTTTATCGTTAACTTGGTTTTCCTGGGTCTTTTCACGTGTGTTATGAATAAATCTTCTTTTTTTGGTACCAGTACTAGTTTTATTTTGTTGTATTTATCCGCGACACCTTAAAGGCCGGTCCGTGAAAATATTGTCGGGCATAAACTGGTCCGTGGCACAAAAAGGTTGGGGACCGCTGCTCTACACCACTGTGATGGTGCACAAGGGCAAAATATTAAGAATTGTGTTATTTTGCAAAAGACTTGACTGGTCTTTGACCAAATTTTAAACACGTATGCCTTCGATATAAAGAAAATGGCATTAGGACTGAAATTGAATGAATTAACTTTTAAATGGATAAACCAATAAAATAAACTAACATAAAACTTCACTGTACTAATGAAAAATATGTCAGCATATAAATTCATATTTTCATATAAATCCCGTGACACACACCTGCTGTTGCTCTGGTAGCTTTCTGCTTTCTGGAGCTGATTCCTCCGTCTGATTCTGGAAGCAGTCACTCCCAGTCTAGGAGAACAATATGAGGACAATATGAGATGATGATGAGATGAGGAATACTTTATTTACCCAGTCAGCCTAACTTTATTTTTTCATTACAGTAACTAAAATGATGATGAAAAAAATATACCTCTTTGCCAGACAGATATATTGTATTACATAGGGTGATAAGCTGATGTAGCAGTGTACAGTGTCCCAGCTTTATGTATTCAGTGAAAACAGATAAATAAACTCACATCAGTCAAATTCATAAACCTCTTATTTTTACAAATAAGCTTCAAGGAATCACTGACTTCAACAACCACAGAGTAAGCAGAGTAAGCTGCTTATCTTATTCTCATTATGAAAGAAACGTAGCCTTATATGTGCACTTTAAATGTTTAAAAGTATTTATTTATTAGTCAATTAACATTTTATTATTCAAAATATAAAGAGCTTGGTTGTTAAAAAAGAGAAAGCAGTTATTTGAAGCTGCTGATTGTTGAAAATGAATGATTGTTGTAATCTATAATAAGTACTAAAATAGTAATTATTTACACCAACTGTGATGTTTTTGTTAGCGCTGCCAGCATTAATTTTGTTAAAATGACGTTAACGCCATAACTGCATTAATGCGCTCCCCGTGCATGGGGGTGCATGGCGTCAACGTGTTAGCGTGATTAGCTCGTAAACACGATGACGCCCTGCAGCCCCACTCATGCACGATCCACGCTAACTCGCTAACGGAGATTTGCCGCATCAATGCAGTTATGGAGTTAACGTCATTTTAACAAGATTAGCGCTGACAGCAGTACTTTTTGTATTAGCTGAATGTCAATCCTGTCTATAAAACATAGGTAATTTGTTAAAGTATAGCAAGGCCATCACATTTCATTTTCAAACCAGGGACACACTGCAAGCTACACATGCTCATACAAATTGTCTTTCTTCATTTCCTCCCCGCCCACAGAGAGAAAAGGACAAGGGGGAAAAGCAGCAATGATCATGGGCAAACACGAGTCTCTGTTTCAAATATGTCTCCTCTTATCTGTATCAGCATGTTTCTCCCTTTTCACGCCCCTGCCAAAATTATATAATCAATTATGAGACGCCAGTGAACATTGTTTTTGGCACAATTTCATTAAGGAACAATCTCTTTGACACAGTTTCCACACAGTGCAATTCCCTTCCAGGGCAGCACTCCTCACTATTCCCCTGTCTCCTGTAGTCTATCAACTTATGCCTGTAATAGTTCTTGATAGCCACTTGTCAAAAATCCTTACAGGCTCTGTTTACTTCCTCTGCTTCTTCGGAGCCTCTTGATTTTGACATTGTTGGAAGCAGTCTTTTGGAGCCTCCCTCATAGCTGACTGCTCACAGTTGCCCGGACCTTGGAGAAGCAAGTCTCTTGTCTGAGGTACCAAAGTCCTTCATGAAAAAAATCTGAACAGGAGAGGTCAGTGACTGCTCCACGCTCTCCTTCCTCAATAACTGCTGTCAAAGTGTCAATGAGGCTCTGAGTGAAGAGCTCTTTGAAGTGTGAATGTGCAAATTTTGTGATCACTGCAACTACAGTACTTTCCCATGCAATAACAGGTCAAATGAACGCACTACCTTGTTAGTGAGTTTCAAGGATGTAACAAAAAACATTTTCTTTCTCAATTAATCTTTAAGGTATTTTTGTATTCATTATTTTGCTTAAATTTACTTAAACCGATGTACAGACATGTCTTACAGCCCAAATCATGATTTCAGAATTGCATTTTGATTGACCCATAGTTCAGTATGAATATCCAGTTTAAAATGACAAACAAAAAGAAAAGCACCAAATCAATACTGCCAGTTTATTCAACTCATTAAAATGGACTTCTTATGCTCATTTACAAATGCACATTTATGTGGGACTCTATTCAAGAAGATTTGCACGATTCACAGATAAAAATAATCCTTATTGATTTTTTACTGGGCCTTGCCGCACTAGCTCAGTTCATCCACTGCCTGAAACAAGTTGTTTTAGCTCCCTTGCACGCATTGAACCAAACTTTCTCAAAACAAACTCCCTGTTATGAATTGAAGGTTTGAACTGAAGGTGGATCAGACGTCTGTGCTCATAGCTAAACCTCCGTGACTGAGGGATAAAGGCAATAAGTGGGCTGATAACAGCATGTACCCATCTGGGCTGGTTAGTACAGGGCAAAACAGCATTGATCATGAAGGATCCCCACAAAGGTACAAGGGCCATCTAACTTACAATTACCTGATTCTCCACAACATGAAAGCTCTTCTAAACCATCACAGGAACCAAACCGAGAAGTCATTTTAGTCAACAAATGAGCATAGCTTAGAAAGCCTATGACTCAATACGCCACACATCGATATTGCTTGGCACAAGGCAACACTAGTAGTACACTACTGATGTTCAACAGGAACTCAGCGGGGCTGTGGAAGACCACTGGCAATCACAGAAGTCATAATCAAGAGTGGAATACACCAAAGTGATGCACTGTTAACACTACTGTTCTGCATTGGCTTCAATCCCCTAACCCAGCATATTGCTAAAAGTAGAAGTGGAGTGATCATCAGTCATCAGCTACATCCTGTACAGGGATGACATCAGCAGTGAGTCATCCCTGTGACATGGATCGACTCACTGATCCATGTCACTAAGATCTACGAGGATATTGGGATCTCATTTGGACTGGATAAAAAAGGTAATCTAGACTGAAGGGATGGAGCTATAAAGAGTCAAGTGAGTTAAGCATGTAGGACCGATAACAAAGAAAAACATAATAGGTCACCTTCAATCTCCAAAGCAATGTAAAACTGTGTTATTAGTCTTCATGCAGCACATGGTGTTCCTTTAGTAATGTCTAATTTCATTAAACCAAATTACTGCTGAGCTACACCAAAACTCCTAACTAAAGATGCATCATTTAGTTGAAACTTGTTGCAGACCTTCTATAAGATTTTGTAATTCATGAACCCACTAAGGACAATTGGAGCAAAAGCGAGTTCTTTGACTTTTGATGAGGGACTTGAGTATGAATTTAGTGAACAATTGAAAGTCAGATTAGAGAGGCCACTGTATTTTAATTACTCTAAAGGCTCACCTTTTCCATCTGGCACTCTTTGGCTCCACCATTCTCTCTCCTTATGACACTGACGTTCATGGGTGATTTACTGGCAGTGACAATTCTCTGAACTTTGGAGATATCCTGCAGAGGAAAACAGAAATATAAACTTGGGGTTAAAAACACATGAGCAAATAGGTTCTTGAAATTCTTCAAAACCTAGTAGTTCTAATACGTATATGTTTATTTCATATTTAAACATATATTTTATTTGTGTATTTATGTTCAATTTAATTTATTACAGGATAAAACAAACAAAAGTTTCTCATTTTTCCAAAACGTAGGTCATATTTAATATTGCATGGTTGTTCATTTTGTAAGTTAGAGTTCTATTTAGATTAAAATAGATAATAAATCTGATGCACTGTGTAATTTAAGTTTTTAAGTGTTCATATGTACAGTAACTGGATACCATCATACTTGCATAGTATTGTTAGGATCAGAATATGTTATGACACTAAATAAATAAATAAATACACAGCTTTTACCAATCTTTCTGAGGTCTCAGATGTTGGACCTTCAAACAAGAATACCACTGATGTCTGTACAGAAATACACAGACCACCTCAGAGTGAGAAGTAGTTGCAGTTCAGAAGGTAGATTTGGGATTTAATACTATGAGACCTGCACATGATCAACAATGATGTTTCAGTGAAGTGACCCACTGCAAACAGAGCCAAAGCAATTCTGAGATAGAGGAAGGAAAAGAAGACGGACAGTCAGAGATGAAAAGGTTTTCTCTGGAGGTAGTAGAGCAATCCATATCGCTACCACCTGAAATGATGTCTGCATAGAAAACATGACTTTTTCAAGGTTGATGCACTTTAAAATCAGTAGTGCTTGAGTCCAAAAGGCAAAAACACACAAAAACAAGCAAAAAAGTAAAATAAAAGTAAATAAAAATTGATACGGGTTTCTGGAGAGTTACATGACAGTCATCATTTTGCTATTGAACAGAGGAATTCATTCAAATACTGACAAATAATGGTATGGTCTTATGGGAAATGACTTCTCAGGAAAAAGCAAAAACCTAGACTATAAAAATATTAATGTTCCTCATTATCTCACTAAACTCCTGATGTCATTTCAAATGTGATTTATAGCCTGTTTTTGGATAATATGACTGATCTGGTGAACATTTAAAAATTTTACATACTTGCTTTAAGTAAGAGGCACTTAGAAAAAATTATAAGAAGTGGTTGTGGTTAAAGGAGTAACTAAACAGATAGATAATTTGTTAAAACACAAGTGTAGATTCTTAGCTGTAATTTGAGAGTACAGCACAAATGGCTGTACTCCCTATACATCCCTGTACATCCCCACTTTTCATGGGACAAAATATAATTTGACACTCAAAAGCTTAATGGACAGTTGCAGAGGATTCCATTATTTCTTCAATAATTATGGAGATAAAAGTTCTGGAATTGAAGGAAATGTGGCATTTGGGATCCTTATATGAGGATATGACCATGGATGAATTGCATGGATTCCAGTGACCATGGATCACAGAAGCAGCTGCATTGATTTTATTTGGTGGAGAAAAAAACAAACAGCAACTGAAGACGGCTGCACTAAAGGCAGGGCAAAGCATCACAAATGAGGAAATCCATTCTTTGGTCATGTTCAGGAGATCCAGACTTCAGGCAGTGTTTAACAATGATTCCAGTTTATCACTTTATAATAATTTCTTTCACCCCTTGAATAAAAGCTTAGGATCTACACTCGTGTAGATACAGACACCATCTTTTCACTCATCATGCCATTTTGTCTGGTAAGGACCAAGGGTTGAAATATTAATTAGGCTTGTTATACCAGATCTTTCTCCCAAAGTCTGACTGTCTTCTGCAGCTAGTCTTCTGCACAAGACAAGTACACTTTAACTGGGTCAAACGTGGTCTCTTGAGAGCGTAAAGCAAGACAGTTGCAAGATGAACATAAGCAATCTTAACCTGTCAATGTCAAATGCCATTCTTATTGTGTCAGCTGAAGCAACATCTTTTTAGGCAGGTTCAGGAGAACTGACATTACTTGTGGAAGTGACCACATTTGGGTGAACATTTCATACACAATTCCCCAACTTTTGACAGCATCTGTCAGAACCAGCCACACTTTCCATTCTTACCATCTGTTTGTCTCTCCATAAGGCCCCTGACTTTTCAGCAGAGCCTTAGTGCTTAAAAGCAGCAGTTTTCCAAGTAACACTTCATAATAACCACCATTTATAATATTACAATACTACATATCATATTATTTGATAAGTTGTTAAACTTTCATAGCATGTTAATTTGATGCTAGCAAACAGTTCTACAACAAATAGATACTAATTAACAAATTATTTCTTATTACCAATTTGAATTGATTAATTTTGTAACGTATTCTGTTATAACGCCACGGACATACATGAGTTATATCATTCTGAAGGCATCTGGATATACATAGAAATATAATTATTGAATTATTAATAAAGCTTGTTGTGATAAAGGTTTCAGTGGTGCTCACTGTGAGCCTGCCTTTAACCAAACATGGAGTGAAATTAAGCAAAAGGTGAAAAGAAAGCTGAACAGTGACTGTTAAAGAACACAAACAAATATGCTGAGTTGTGATTATTTGCAACTATTATTGAGATTAACTTACCTAAGTGGGTTTTTGGCAACATTGTTTGGGTCTTTTTTTTCCTTTTGTAGAACACAAATTTGATTCTATCGCAGTTTTTGGATTGTCAGCTCGCTACTGTCTAGTCTTTGCCTGGGAGAGATGGATATCCTGTATAATTTTTATAGACAAGGAAACAATCATAAAAGTAAATAGTAAGCGCTTAAAGCAGGGCAATGAAATGCCTGATTTTCCTCCAGCCCAGTACTCTGAGCATCTAAGACATCATCTCCCATTACTTTGATGAAAATTGCATACTATCAGACCACAAGACTTGGCTCTCTCCCCAAGACTGTTAAATATGAAGCAACTTCCACTTCAATCCTGCTGATCTTTGCATCCTCACACTAATGAATCTTTCACCAGCAAGAAGAGCTTTGTGTGTGTGTGTGTGTGTGTGTGTGTGTCAGGCAGGGTCTGAGAGAGTCTTATCTGTGGTGTCTAACAGAGCTTAAGGCCCATTACGGTAACTCAAACTATGAGCGTGACACTCAAAGTGGTGTCACAGAGTGCTTGAACAAACATCCCTGCACTTAAGCACTTTAGGTTTCACAACACAAAGCAGATTTTAGTATAAATGTGCTGATGAAATTCAAGCATTTGAATATATGTGATCTCTTTGTTGCTATTTTTTGTAATTTTTCACATAATGCAAAGTTATACTGTCCTTGGTCATCCATAGCATTCAGCATACTCTATAGTGTATTTTTCAGAACTATTCACATTTCTTTAATTAACAATAATAATAATAGATTGGATTTATATAGCACTTTTCAAGGCACCCAAAGCGCTTTACAATACCACTATTCATTCACTGGTGGAGCCAAGCTACGGTTGTAGCCACAGCTGTCCTGGGGCAGACTGACAGAAGCGAGGCTGCCATATCGCACCATCGGCCCCTCTGGCCAACACCAGTAGGCAAGTAGGGTAAAGTGTCTTGCCCAGGGACACAACGACCAGGACAGAGAGCCCAGGGATTGAACCGGCGACCTTCCGGTTACAGATGCGATTCCCAACCCCCTGAGCCACGGTCGCCCGAAGATACACTATTTAAGGTATTTAGGACAGATCTATTTTGTAGACATTCCTAAATTAATCAACAGTACACCATTATGCTGTCAGTGTACTCTGCTGTAAGGAACTGTTTTTAAACTTATCATACTAATGAGTTGGCCCTGACACAATTAAGTTGCTTTTCATTAGACTTGTTTTCTTTCTGAGTGGGTCAGAATCACACAATTGCCAGGCATCCCTAGAATGACCCGTCCCATAACAGAAACCTGTTTAAATACTCAAGTGCATTAGCACTTGGTTTCCTGTAGGATATGCCTATAGTAACTAATGCCTATACCTTGATAGTGTAGCAGGTCTTTTTAATGTTTTTATTATTTTATTTTAATGTATTCTTCTTATTTAGAGCAGAGCTGGATTGATATTGCAAAGAACCTCATTGGTAATGAGCACCAGCATGTAAATGTGACCATCCCCAGGAAGTTTTACAAAGTTTTGTTCGAGTCAGACACTGGCGCCACCGGGCCCTCTGACCACCACCAGTAGGCAACGGGTGAAGTGTTTTGCCCAAGGACACAACGACCAAGCCAGGGCTCGAACCGGCAACCTTCCGATTACAAGGCGAACTCCCAACTCTTGAGCCACAATCGCCCAAACATTCAAATTTGGTTGGTTGTTTAATAACAGATTGTCTCTTGGAGTGACACATGTTTCTGCTTTACATGGATTAAAAGATTAAAAGTTGAGGAAATGAAAGACTTGAAACAGCTGCAAAACAGCAGGGATCCCTTCTAGAATAAGTTATTTTATGTATTGCACTTCTAAGCTACAATAAGACAATCTTATACATGCCTCAAAACTACAAAAGAACCTAGGGTAAAATAAATAACAATTACACTAACCAAGTGATTTCATGCTGTTAGATACAACAATGAGGAATACTAAATTATTCTTAGTGCTAAGTTCTCGACATTTGTCTCCTCAGCTGTGGAACATTTGGCTCTTTTATGCCCTGTAAGTGCTACTGTATGTGTTTTTTTTCTTATTGCGTAATATGAGTTAAATTTGGCATTGAATTAAATGGGATCTGACCCACCTCTACATATACAGGCGGGGTGGACAGATGGAGCACCCCAGTAATTTTCACTGTGAGGGCACGCTGAGATTTATCAGACAGCCCGTCAAGTGTACAACAGCAACAGGAGATAATGAAGCCAGCAACTGCTCACAAGTGAAGTGCTGCTATTTCTATGGTAATGAAGGGGGAAGTAAAAACTTCATTAGCATAAAAAAATCAACCCACACCTTTCTTGAAATTCCTGTACTTGTCTTTTCTTTTGTATGATGCTGATTTTGCTCCTGTACTTGAATGTACTGGGCTGTATGTTTGAAAGGCAGATATGGGCGAATGCATAGTCAGATGAGATCCTTTTGTTTTGACCAAGGAGGGTGTAAACAGGAAGTGTCAATTATAGAATCTTGTTTTATATGATGCCACAGCAAAGGTACTGCAATGGCACTGGCGTGGATGGTATTACTCAAGCATGATTAAAAAAAAAATCCTCTAAGTGGCATGTCAAATCTCTTAGGCACCCACGATAGAGACACAGAGTAAATTGTGACTGCTTTGAGGAGAGAAAAGCCTCTTAAAGCCAGAATTGCTCACCAGTATCATGGCAGATAAGACACAGCAGCGCTGTGGCCGACTTGATGATTTCAAAGTGACTGCAGCGACTGCTTTTCAGAAATCAGAACTAGCACAATCTCTGATTGAAGTTGACATGACTGCTTGATAGGGGGTAAAACAGCTATGGGTAATAAAAAAGTATATTTTCAAGAAATAAAAGCGATCTGTATATTCAGCTGTATGTGATTTATATATCTTTTGGGGTTTTTTTCTTGTGCACAGAGCCACAAAAATACTTGTAGGAATGTTTAAAGAACAAAATACAACTGCACTTTGACACTTGTCATTAGTCTTAAAATGTGGTTCAGTAGGAAAACAAGACACAATATCCTCACCGAAAGCATAATCTTACTTGTAGAATGAATCCTCTTGGAAGTCACCTTGTTTTACTCCTAAAAAGGATTAAATCCTGAGCCCTTAGTTGAGTCTGCTGTGACCCTGACTTTAAGAGGCTCCAAACAAAGACTGTGTCACATTGAGTTAATAATTTTCATATAGAACAAGTCCAACATCCAAAAAACTCCCGTAAAGCCCTAAAATAGTAGTGTTTCTCTTCAAAATCTATAGAACAGAATACAAAGACTGACATAACTATTTAGACTGCCGCTTGATTTAGACATGTTATTATTCTGAACAACCTCTGGAAGTGTGTTTGCCCAACTGTTATATTTGGTAGTAATTATTTCCTGTGCTATTTCTCTCTAGAGAGTGATACTCGGGGCATCAGATTGACAAATAGCCACTTGAAAAGAAGGTAATAATCGCCTAACTCTTAAATTCATATTGCAGACAGTGCATTATGCGTGCTCTGATGTGCAGTGAGGTGAATATTTTGGCACAGAGTTATATTCCATGATGTCACTAAGTTCCTGTGTGAAATGAATTTCAATTTGAAAGTGTTTACACAAAGGGAAGAGGCAAAAAACTGCAGCCGGCTTTATCTTATCTGGAAAGTCAGAGGGAAAATTATACTGCACCATTACAGAAGCATATCCCAAATCCAACTTTCTTTCCACTTTACTTTTGGCTCTGCAAAGCAAACTTATCTCATTTTTATCCTACTTTTCTGAAGAAACGGTAATATTTGTGTTCGGACTGACAATCAAACTGATTGCATACTGTAAGACAAAGTCTAAGCCATTTTCATTACATACAGATACACTACATGGACTGTACTGTAAATCAACATATCACAGTGGGGAAAATACTGATTTGATCCCCTGTTTTTCTATAAGATGGCAGTCTGGTGACTGACTAGGCCACTCCATAACCTAAACGTGCGTCTTTTTTTGCTCCTCCAAACACAGTGGGATACAAAAGAGCTTGACTGTGGTTTCATTTGACCACAGCACTTTCTCCCAAGCCTTCTCTGAATCATTTAGATGTTCACTGGCAAACTTCAGACTTGCCTTCTTGAACAGGGGACCTTGCTGGCACTGCAAGATTTCAATTCATCATGGCGTAGTGAGGGACTATCTGCCTTCAGATCGTTAACAAGCTCCTCGCATGTAGTTTTGAGCTGACCCACTACCTTCCTCACGATCATCTTCACCCCATGAGGCAAGATCTTGCAGAGACGTTCAGACAAAGGGCATTTTAAATTTATTCCATTTCTAAATAATCACACCAGCAGTTGTCCTCTTATTATCAAGCTTCTGCTGATGGTCTGGTAGCCCATTCTAGCCTTGTGCAGGCCAGATGGGCACATAGCCAATCTGTGGGAGACAGAATTCTGACTGAGTTGTGGGGGATCAAATACTTATTTTACTCACTGAAGTGCAAATTTGTAATTTGCAACTTTTATGGGAAGTGTTTTTATTTCTTGGATTTCTGATTGATAATCTCTCTCTCTTTATTAAAACAAAACTACCATAAGAATAGGGACTGTTCAATTCCTCGAAAGTGAGCAAACTTACAAATTCTGCAGAGGATCAAATAATTATATCCCCCAGTGTATATCTACAGGAAACCCATGCAACAACTGATGTAACTAATAAGACTGAAAAAACCCCAAACCCAAACAACAATTGCACTTTCCTTTACTTGGCATGTTGCAGGGCACTATTATTTTGCATACTGTCTCTCTGACACAGTCTGGTGATGTACTTAAATGGAGCACAGCCATTGTTAATGGTATTAATTACACCTGCGACTTTCCTGATATGGCAAGTCAAAATGTCAGCTGTGAAAAAGGCCCATTGGTCATGCTTCTGGTAACATGAAAGGGCCGTAGAATTACATTTTGTATTCAGCCTGAATTATTCATTCAAGACTACTGTGAATGAAGCTGCCTTGGGACAAAATCGTTCCAACAATGCAATCAGCCATGATTAGAACATGGCTCCATGTTACAAATGTTGTTGCTCTGATTTCTTTTGATTATAGGTGTAAAAACTACTAGCACCATTACCTCATTAGAAGACTGTGATTCTGGTTGAATTATAATAGCAAAAGTGGAAGCTTAAAATATACTTTCAAGACCATGTTGTACTAAAATCTGTTTTGAAAGTCTCAGAGTAGCACAGATAGTTGATCTAGCAGTTTGATTTTATAACTTCTGTCAGGACTGAATTCATATCAAAACATAAAAGAACAACTGACAAAGATCAGGGTTGATTAGCATCAAAATCAGGAAAAAAAAAAGAAAATATGAAAAGAATAATAATAATGTTTTTGTAAGTGCAAGTTTCCTCACCAGACGATGTAAAATGCAAGCAATTAAATGCAGTAATTTTTCATATAGATTTCTTATATATGACTTCCCATAATTAGGTATTAGTGTTTCTTAGTGTAATAGTGTTCTTGACTGTTTTAATGTTTTTTGAGGGAGTTTAAAATCAAGAAAAGTAAACATGCACTAGTAAAAATTAAAAGTAGGATACTGAAAGTTGGCACTATTAATCATTCCAGCAATGAGGATGGATAATAATGGTAATAATGATAATAATGGTAATGGATAATAGTAGGGGAAAAGATCTGCAAATGTGAAGGAACTTGTTGAACTTGGAACTAGCATATGTACAGAGTAGGATTTTCAAGAAATTTGATACTCACACACAATTGATATTAAAAATTGTTAAAGGGTAGGATACTAATTTGTAACAGTATGACAGCAACGGTGCAATCTTCACCTCTTCTACATGACACACTGCAGGTGCCTGCACACCGCCCCTCCCCTCACTATCAGCTGAACAAATGAAGAGTAGCACAACAAATCTGGCAAAGCATCTTAACGACTGACATCCCGGTGTTAATGAAGAATTTTGAGAAGATTTGCATCACTTAAGTATTAAACAGTTATAATAAATCTTGACCAGTGCACACATTGACGTTAGCCATTTAAATACTATTAGCCATCTGTTAAGTTATCATTAAAGTAGCAGCTAGTGACTATGGCTAATAATAAAACACAAGGTTAATGTTGGAGTTAGGCAGCAAACAATATCAGTATAGCCCATCTGCAACTTTAATAGATGGTATTAACTTAGCTGGAGAACTCAATGCTGTAGTATTGTTTTAATTTTTAGATGTTTATTTCTTAAGTTGTATTTTACAATATCTAGTTCATCTTTTTGAAAAACATTAAATAAAATAAAGGAGCTCTGCAATGAATTCTGAATTACCTTGGCATGTGGCTGTTGAAAGGTGACTCTAGAGCTGTTGATGAGCGATGAGTATCTGAACAAGTGGGTGGGGGAGGTGGGAAATCTGTGACTGCTGCTGGGCTGGTTGTGCAGGACGGCTGAGAAGCAGATGTGAACTGTGTCCTTCAACGCCTTCATCTGAGACTCCTGTCCCCAAACAAGATTACACACAAACAAGACGGTTTCTGAATCACTCACACTGCCTTGCATCCACATGAGAAATTTACTTAAGCATTAGAGCCATTTTGCTCACATCCTTTAAAGTGATTTCAGAAAAGCTAGAAGGCATCGTTAGGCAAGACGTAAAGATTAAGAAGTCAATAGAGCAATATGAAGTAATGTGTATTTAAAAATAATTTGCTTTTCATCAATACTAATAGACAGGCTTAACTGATGTTAATATCACCTTTATCAGCTCTTTTCTCCCCGTGCAATTTTCACTCATTCAACTTAGCACATCCATAATAATAATAATGCCCCCACAAAATAAATCTGGTGCATGTGTTCAATGTGTTGAAGCTCAACACTGTGATGGGAAAATTGCTATGACAACCATGCTATTAAACTTCTGCACTTACTTTCATCATTAGATATCCACTCTTTAAAAAAGGTCTTTATGCAGACTAATATTACTTCACATAATTTATTCATTCGCTCATCATCGCTCATCGGCGACACCCCGTCCCCTGTGTTATTCACCTTATCCAGCGCAGTCTTCTCCAGTTCTTCCTTGGCCACAGTTAACTTGTGTTCCAAGTCCATTAGCTGCTGCCCCTGCAGAAACACACGAGTTTTGAATCAGCTGAACCTCTCTCTTTGTACTGTGCAAGTAAAGCATTTCTCCAGCTCCACCTCATATCTTCAGCAATATCGATAGCAAAAATCTATAGCACAAGGGATTGAAGCTCCTCTTTGTTATTTTGCAGATCATCACTTTTGTTCTTACTTTTTAAAATATGTGTTATAAAACCTGACACACACACACAGATACATGCACACACATCTAATTCAATCAATTTGCATTCAATTTAAGTTTTACATTTTATTTTATCCTAAATTGACCTTGGAATGTATATACTTAATGTTTTCCATATTAACCTACAAACCAAAACTCCACAATGACAAAGCAAAGATTATTGTTTTTGGACTGTTTTGCACACTTTCCTAACAATGATCCACGGGATGCTTGATCTGAGTCCACCTGTGCCTCACTGAATTAATGGGATATAACTATATAAAGTTTCAAAACTCATTATGTATGTCAGAGTGAAAAACTGAGCCATGAGATTGAGTGAATTGTTTACTAACATTGGTATTGCTCCTCAGCTATACACAGTTTTTTGTGGCAAAGGGCCTTCATCAGGTGACCAACCAGGAATCACTGTCAATGTGATAGGCATCCCAGCAATCCTTTTGTGGAAATATTTGTTCTTTTTTTATGGATGGTAGGAAGCCAATCCTCCCTGTATCACAGCCCATGAGGAGTTTCCTATAAAGCCCTTAAAAAGTCTCCAACACTAAAGGTGAAATCCTTTAGTCAGATGGCCACAGTTCCAAAAAGCTTGTGTGAGCATCACTTCATTATTATTATTATCCCAACAGTCATCGCAGTGTCAGCAACACCACACCGTAGGGATGTTTTTCCACAATATGGACCAGGAGACTAGTCATAAAGGGAAAGATTAATGTAGAACGGCATAAAGTAATTCTGAAGACCTGAAAATACAAGTATAGGATTCACTCTTAAAAATGCCAGAAGTGTTTTAGCCAGGCACTAAGTGAAAGTGAAGGATCTGAACTGAAAAGGATACAACTGTCCTTTAGATTTAATAAAACGCTAAAAAGTCTGTTGCTGTGTTTGTCATTGTAGAGTATTTTGTGTTGACTGGAGCTGAAAAACAATGAGTCTCATAATGAGTCTTTATGAAACATAAAGATATCAGATACAGTGGACACAATGCTCGAGCACTGAACAACATGTGGATTGGACAGTACTCAGAGGACTCCTCGCGATTATTAAAACTGATCATAGGTGTTGTTCCCCACATCAAACAGACCTTCACAAGGGTGTTCCTGTGATAAAAAACACTACCGCCCCCCTCCCAGAATCTTAAGGCTCTGGGGAGGGGAGGACAGAAATAATCCCTTAAAACTATGTACAAATGGTATACATAAAAATGACAAACAATTCACCTTAACAATAGGGATCTCAGTAACCTTCCTAACCAGTGATAATTAATTAATTAATCTGACAAAATCTTGGTTAAGTTTTTGTGAAAACAAAACCTCTAGTCTTTTTAAAGCATTTTATGCACACCCTAGAAGTCATATGAAACCATATAAGCATGAGTTAATTCACAGCAGCACTGAAAAGGATTAGATCTGCTTCTTGGATAGAAGAATATTTTAATGTTGTCATTTATAAAAACAGACCCTTTAAAACCATCAAACTTTAAAAAGGAAGTTTTTCTTAGACGTTAATCCTAGGACTGAACAGCACACACAGAAGGGCTGGTTTTAGTAAATGAACCAATGTAACTCCTTATGATGATCAACAGAGCTTCTTCTGAGAAGTCTTCTATTATTGATAAACTCATCCACAAGAAAAAAAAGAAAGCCGTGCTGGGATCATTTGCATGCAGCCTGTGTAAAACCGGCCTTGGTGATGGACTTTAAGCCATAAACTTTTATCGGATGTCTTTACTTGCCTCCGGAAATGATAAACTACAAAGGCTTATATTCTAAAATATCCAAGGCCAGGTAACCCAACAAACAGCAACTACAATCCCTCTCAAGTGTATTAAATTTTAGTGAGTGGTGATGTGACTGATTGATAGCTTTTGGTAAGCTTTATCAACTTGTGGTGTGTGGTGCCTCGATGAGTGTCCTGAAAAAGCTGGGAGGCTTGGCATGTTCACTGATTTCATCTCATTTTCATGTCAGTTTCTACCAGCAAAGTGGTTATTTTAATGATGAACATGTCTGTCAGTTCTACCACTCAATGGGGCGGTAGGAACTGTGTTTAAATCCTTTCTGACAGATGAGTCGTATAGTGACTCCCAAGGACAGAGCAACAATCAGTCCTATGGGTTTTCACTGAAGCCAGAGAGTCAGATCTCACCTTTAGAAGTTCATGTAGTGGGAGTTTTAGTCAGATGGAGTCTTAAGGTAATCAGGCACAGTTCATGGTCACAAAGCTTTGTAAAAGCCTCATAAAATCTCTTTGTGGCAAATTAAGATATTCATTAATACACACTGGAATCACACATTTTGCTCACAAGTACATTTTTTTAAATGAGGCTCAATATTAGTTTGTTGTCTAAAAGCTCTAAATCCTATGTGCACAGCTTTATAGTAAAGGCCATTACATCCATTACAAAGAGCATCATCAGTGGATAGTCCTTTGAGCTCTGCTGGCGCAACGGCACTGACCCAGAAATGCTGACTTTCAGGGTTAGTGCCCCCAAGTCTAGGGCTTCATATTTCTGTGCTGAGTCCATTATAGAGGTGTGGGGTCAGTGGGGTGCTGTCCACTGGGCTAGATGAGGCGTGTGACGACATCTGTTTTTTCTAAGCTTAAAAAGAAACAGCTCTGGGGGTAATTTTAGTGTCGCAATGAAGAGTACACTGTGAAAGCTTGAATATGGCTCCTCTGCCACAAATACTGTCTCGTAGGGAAATGCAGGGAAGTCGCTCTCTTTTCTTTTAATACTTTTTTTAGTAACATGTTTATGAAAAGCGAGGGAAACTGTACAGCTTATACCTGAGACAAGAGTTGCACTAAAAATGCTGGCTTTTTTTCCTGGTACTCTAGGTTACTCTAGGAAACATGCTGTAGCATTTAATCAATTTGCATTTTCTTGTATTTTACTATGAAAAACGAGAAACTAACTAACTAACTAACTAACTAACTAATTAACAAAAAAAGGTATTCTTAAGCTTTCATAAATGTAAGTTTTGGGGATTCTGCTGTATCTAACCTTGCAAATTTGTTTTCTTTGTTTCTTTTTTTTTTAAACCAAGACATTGTGTTGCAAAAGGCACTTTGATAGGGTACAACAGCTGTCATAACCAATTCAATTGCCTCCTGGTCAAGGTGCCTTGACTGACATCCCCCCTGTGATGCTGATGACATTTCTGTATCTTGAGTGACTCTCCTCCACTTCCCCCTCCTTTGGCCCCTGCTGGGCTTTTGATCACAGCACATGGGGAATACAGATGAGTTTTTCAGGAATAGCCAGAGGGATTGGACGTGATGCATTTCTCCCTGACCTTTCCACCAGAGAAAAAAAGCAGCCATTTCTGTCATCTTCGAAAGATGACTGTTTTTACAAGATAAAGAGAATGATCAAATTAGCCTTATCTGTCTAATGCTGCAAATCACTACAGACCGTAATGTTTTAAAGATCCACTTGAAATGTTTGGTGACATTGAGCAATAACGTTTTAGTTTTTTTTTGTTTTGGATGACTGACTGATGCAATTTAGAGACAACGATTTACGAGCAGTGACACCAAGCAAACAAGTCGATGCATCAATCATTCAGAGACTAGAAATAGAACAAAGAACAGGACATCCAGGGACAATATATTCAAGTGTAGGGCTAGAAGCATAAAATTCTATCCTCGAGGACAGAGTCCTTTTTTTATTCATTTATGTCTAACGTAGCTTTAGCAGTGATGTGTTCAAAGCATCAAAACATACACATAAGAAATGGCATTACAGGGCATTGTGGCAAAAATGTCAACTGACATTTTAACACCACAAACAAGGCCTGAAAGGTCAGTCCTTGTACCAGTAAATGCCAATAAATATTATGTGAGCGCTCAGATCCCAGAACGTTTAGTCCTCGCAATTCACAGGGCAATGGAGTATGTACGGGTGGGCAATAATACGCAACACTGCCACTGTTTTTATTGTGCTTGCAGAGGAAGTACGTGAGGAAGAGGCACATATCTGATTCCCTGAAATGGGTGTTACCCCTGAAATGTAGAAATACATGGTGTCATCTGTAATTTTGTCTTGAAGGTTCCCTTATATGATCTAATGCATAATTCTGTATCAACTTCATCCACTGCTGTCCAAACCATTTATCCACATACCACAGAAGATTAAAGAGGATGGGGTGAATCTTGCAGAGGTGGAAACAGAGGACGAAATTTGGTATGTTCACTAAGAGCTGCCGGATTGACTTTGCCGTGTGCTGCTTTGGCTGGATGGAAGTTTATAATTGCAGCCTGAATTAATTAGAGCCCCTTCTGTGATGGGATCATCCTTTGAAGGCGGTATGAAGCACCTGTTTACCCCTGGTCTGGAGCTACTATAAAGCCACCCACCTTCAGTTTGAGCTTACCTTAAAAATTAAATCCTTTTTCCCGTACCGCAGTTCTTTCAGTTGAGCCTGGATTTTTTTGGACTGCAAGAGGAAGATAAGGAAATAAGTGTTAGCTTATTCAAATAGCGAAATTGGTTTTAGATCACGTAGCAGGATTCTGCCAGCTGCAGCAGAAGACTCCTTTGTGAGCATTCCCTAGGCAAAGCTCTGGCTTAAAGGAAGGCCCTACTGAGAGGGAGAAAATATCAAATCTACCCTTCACTGAACTGTATAGTCCACACAATGATGCCGTCATGCACTGGATTCTTGCCCACTGTCTAAACCTGAATTCTCACTCCCACTACACACATTACTGCCACCATCGCCACACACGTGCAGGTTCCTCGGTTGTGACAGCGTCTCGCCCGCCTTCAGTTAAGCCACTCACACAAACAGAGCACTTCTTCACTGCCACCCCCAAACATGCACAGTGACCAGCGCTGCCTGACATTCACTCTGCTGCTCCACATCAGTGGGCACCTTGAGCACAGAGACTGTACCCCAGATAGCTTGATACATGGCCATCCTCAAAGCTGCTCATGATGTGAGTGTGAACACTGAAAGCCTCCACACGGGATAGAACAGAGCGTTACTCTGAGAGTCCTCAACGAGGCTGAATGATGTTTTCAGAGCACAGGTATTGTAAAGCCTTTTGTGATCGGAACCAATACAGCATGCTATGCAAACAGAATTGCTTCAACTTGAATCCTAAGGAATTGAAGTTTTAAACATAAAGATTATTAGGTTAATAATTCATTTTAATTAACCAAGCTTTAATATTCCAGATCCTGAGAGCTTTTCTTTGTATATTTGTGTCTCAGCCTTATTTATCTCTACATTTCCTTGGCACAGACAGGTGAAATGTGACATGAGGTCTAATTTTCTTTTACTAAAGCACACTGAACACAATGCCGAGGGAGAAATTCACTTCACAGGGTTTTGTGTACAAACACCTTTGCCTTTATATATGAGATTCTTCATCTTATTTTTTTTCCTCCCCAGGGTGACTCCATGTCCCAGGACACCTCTCACTGTTTTGTGTAACTGGATTCAAAAACTGCATCCTTGGGCTCCACATGAAAACAAGATGTTAGGTTAAATAAACACAGAGCAAACTTTACAACTGTGTCTCACAGACGTATGTGATTTGAAATTATTCAGCCTGTATTTTTCTCCCCCCTGTGAACCGGGTCATTAAATAAAATGTTAGCAAATTAATTTTATTTGCATCGGTTAAGTGGAGCTTTTTGAGATACTCACCGGTAATAGAATGATTCACTTTAAAAGGCCACAGAATCATATGCTGTGGAGTATTAACTCATAAATGCAAATATTTGAATGCACTGCACTCTATGAATTGCCAAAGCATTTTTTTTTTCAATTTTCTTTTAGTCCAAATAAACTATGTGAGTGTCTCCTGTGGTCCAATTCTCAGCCTATTTTTAGGGACACTGAAACATTGAAAAGCCTTTGAAACATTGTTAAGCTTTACAGTTAGCAGGCTAGTTACCTTGGCTACTAAGTAAGGAATCCTGTAAGCCACAGTAATGGGACAGAGCTCTGATGTAACTGAAAGAGACTTTTCAAAATATATTTCCATTACCTGCCTTGATGGCATATAGAGCCCTGGTGAATGCGGGAAGTTATGTGCTTGACAACAATGACCTTGAAATAAAGCCAAAACTCAGAAGAGCAGCTGGAGCCCATCATTCACTATTTAATGAAAGAAAACCACACATTTGTTTGATTCTCAGTGTAACAGCATTTTCAGTTATACAATAACTATTCAATATTTTGAAAAGCAGATTTCCCAGCAAGCAGTTTATACCCCAAATCATCAGTTAAGGTTAACTTTGTCCAAACTGTGTGTTCAGTCGCCTCCATAAATGTTAAGATTTGGACTAGTGGGAGGCCACTTTAGAAATGCCAAATACTTATTTATTATAATGTTAGAAAAGCCATGTTTTTTACCTGGAATAGTATGGTTTGTGTGCTTCAGGTCGGGGATGACTTGATTTCTCACGTGTAGGAGTATCTCGAGGGCTTGTTTTCAGGTGGGGGTAGAACTGCGCTAGAGATTGACAAGTAGATTGGTCCTGTGTAGGCATTGAAGCAGACCCTACACTATTGTGGGGACTAGAGACCTGAGCCTGAAGGTGAAGTTGTCGATTTACTGGTTCATCTACACTGCTATCTTCACCTATGGCCATGATCTGTGGGATATGGCTTAAAGAACAAATAAGACCCATGCAGCAAAAATCAGCTGGTACCATGGGATTCTGGGATACCCCTTAGGGATAGGGTCATTTTGAGTTGGAGTAGAGCTGTTGCTCCTCCGCTTTGAGTAAAACCAGTTCAGCTGTTATGGTCGTGTCCAACTGAGAGAAGACCCCAGGGCAGGCCCAGGACAACAGATTACATCTCTCAGCTGGCAGCTGGCCTCGATACCCTCACACCCACCCAATAGAGCTGGAGGTAGTGACTGGGGAGAGGGAGGCCTGAGCAGCTCTGCTTAGACTGCTGCCGCAATGAACCATACAAAGATAAGTGGTCGAAAATGGATGGATGGCTGGATGTTGTAGCAATGACCTGCAACTGAGACAGATCCTGCAGACCCCCAGGCAGTATGTTTTGCTCCAGTATGCTTTGATAATTTTATGATTTCACTGCGCTCTGCACAAATTCAAGCCACTGTGAGCAAGAGACAGCAAATGAACCCTGTACGGATGACTATGCTTCCTCCATTCACAGTGAGGAGATGTCCTCCTTTAACTGTCTATTTTTTTGTGAACAGAGATGAGTTACCAAAAAAATGCATGTAATTTTGTTACAGCTGTCCAAGTGTAATTACCAACAAACACTGTGAATTGTTGATATGCATATTAGTAAACTCCAGTCAGTGTTTTCTTTCAAATTTACTGGGCTTTCTTATATGGAGCTTTCCTTTATGTGTTATTTCTCAGGGTTGGCTTGTATACAGTTTGAGTTTTTGCTTGTTTCTGTCACCCAACATTTGTCCAAAAAATATTAAACTTGATTAATAAATTCCCATTCTAGCTATTCTAGCTTGTACCTTGACCTCATGACTGTTATGTTCATTTCTTTTTCCTCTACTTTGCTTTATTCTTTGGCAAATTTTGGCTCGATCCCAAATGAAAACACATATTTTCGCATTCAGCCATTTTAGTAAAGCAACCAAAGCACTTAATCAAAAATGGATGGAAGGCAAAGTACTTTTGATCCACTTGATAATAAAGTGGCTAACTTCAATTTAAAAGTAAACCAATAACATTGTCTCTTATCGATAGTTGTATAATCCATTGGATACTTTTATGAGGTATTATATACAAATAAAAATAAGGGTACAAAAGACCCAATAACAGGGATGAAATTTAAATTTTATTTGAATCAATTTATTTTAATCTCTTCTGCTTGTTCACAGTTTAAATATAGTGAAGTGAAGTCATCATATTTATGTTCTTTTCCTCCAATAACAAGATGCAACCAACCAACACAGAGCTACTCAAAACCATCCACTAAGAAAAGTGCAGCTCAGTCTCATTTGCCTTGTCTTTAGTATATTTACCTTTTGATGGATAGTTTTGAGGAAGCAATTGGTTTCTTTAAGAGCTCAAACTTTACAGAAATCATTTAACTTTTCAGATTTTTTAGGAATCCATGGATTTCTTGTGAAGGGAGCAGCAGAGCATAGTGATAATGTTCCATGGATTTATTAGTACGAGGAACATTTTTCTCATTATACAAAGTCATTTAATCTGTCATTAATATAAAATACTTAGTGCAGCTATAAATAATGTCTTTTTTTCTTTTTCTCTTTTTTGCCTTATCGGGCAAATGAGAAAATGTGTTTGTATGCATGTCAGTATGCTGATGTCAACACACAGCTTTTACTTTGAAGGTGAACAATCACCATTTGTGGTTTGCATCTAGTGAATGTTCGCAGAGAAATCAGCGTCAACCATACAAACTATGGGGAACCACAACAACCTACAAACAACTTAAGCAATCACAAGAAGGTTTTTTGTGCAGGCTACTTTTCTGACCCAGTAACAACCCCCAAGAAGCCACTCACCACTCTAGCGACAAGAAGTTGCCAAGGGCTTACTAACCAGGAATTCCTAATCAATCTCTAGGCGTGTGTGACTGAGACCTGAGGCACAAAAAAGGTGAAACGACACCAACATATGACAGATAAAGTGTTCCGGCATCATCATCATCATACATTGTAAGTGCAGTTGCAGCAGGAACACAGCAGCGTCACAGATTTGTCTCCTTTTGCACTGAAACAGATTGTCCTATTTGTACAGTGTGTATGGCTGAAGCATGCTAGCTGGAGCAGAACGGAGACTGGCTCCGAGCCAGAGTCGTACAGTCTGAAGCAAACATGTCACTTCAATCCTTCCAGTCAAGGTAATCTGATTTATTCAGTGTAGATATAGAGATAAAAATTTATTTTTTTATTTCAAGATTCTGCTCTTGTATGCTCCCTTTACACAAATTAGTTGTATCGTAGGATATATCACCGAAGCTAAAAACACCCATCTCCCCAAACGAGGTTTTATCAAAGAAGCCAAACAAATCTGCTTTCATTTCTGATTTGGTAAGGAGGAATTCTAATATTATATGGAATTTAACTTCATAAATCACAGCTTCAGTGCTCATTGAGAGGTTAGAATGAAAAACTAATATTTTAAGACTTAGAGATGGAAACAAGGAGCAACAACAAGGATGTACATGATGAGACGTATATGAGTGACACAGCTGTTGATATCGCATGCATATAAGGTAAATGGTTCTGGCCAAAGCACAGTTCATACCTGATTACACAAAAGTTTAAAACAGTGATACTGATAAATGGCTATCACACAAACATGGTAACATCAACCTTAAATAATGTAGGAATGGCCTGCATGGACTTTTAGTTTTGCTCATGTCGGATTTGCACACATGTTATTAGAACAACTCCACAACTCCCTCTCTCACACACACACAACCAAAGTCTAATAATGGATGGAAGCAAA